GTTAACTCGATGAAAAACATTATACATATGAATACATCAGAAGAAACATTAAAGAATAAACTAAATATCGCTGAACAGAGAAGAATGAGAATCAAATGGTAAGAAGTATGGAACATATGTGCAAATATAAACACTGAAAAGGCAAAGTATGATCATAAAATATTTAAATGACAGGTTTCAAAACTAACAGGTAATAAAAAAGATGAATACATGTAATTATTTTAAAATTTGCTTTTCTTGTATTTTTTTAATAAATTCCATAACAGAAATTCAGACAAATAATTTGCTAGTTTTTAGTTACTGAACTTGTTGTAACTATTATATATAAATCCAGATCTCCTAGGTGCTTTATATTATGCATTAAAAATGGTGTGAAAGCGTTATTGTTGCACTGAGCAGAATCATAGTTACAAAGAAACAAAGAGAACAATGTGATAATTTGTAAAAGGTATGGATAGTCCAGCCAAAAGGTTGAAGACTGACAATAATTTGCTCACCCATGGCAGTTCTCACATAAACAAAAGCAAATGCAACAAACAGTACGATAAAGAAAGTAGGAATCTAACTTTTCTAGAGAAGTGGAAATGTGGTCATTCGTGGCGTAACTTTAACCCCAAAGTAAATACTATGTTTTGCAGTATCTTCATAGAGATTCAAAAACGCAAGATGAAAAGAAAGCTCATTTGTAGTTGCATACACCAATTTACAGTTGGAAGCAATAGTACAACATGAAACAAAATCACAAATCCATCAGAAATGAATCATCACGAGTCGAGAATCATCAAAACCCTAAGGACAGTCATATGCAAGTAAAATCAACATGATGCTAAATAAAGAAGTTGTTGGAAGAATTCCGTTGATTTTAGAAATATACATGCCTAGGTAAAAATGAGAAGGCCGTTTAGCGATTATATGTGGATGGTACAGTTGGATGACAAAAAGAGACTTGATGTTGGTCAAACATGTCAATGACAAAGAGGCACAAGTCTTTTCAGAATTTATTGCACTGTGTGCAAGAATAAACTTGAACAAAAGATTAAATCGGCACCATTTATTAGTATTATTATTACTGATGGTTCCACTGATAAAGGTTCCATGAACAAGAAGCTGTTTATGTGAGAACTGCCATGAGTGAGCAAATATTCACTTCATTTGTGTGTATAACATAAGTTTCATAAGCTACTGCTGATGAGACTTTGGATGCTATAGATGATGCATTTGCATCAAGTGCAATGCCCGATTACAAAAGTAAACTTGTTGGATTTGGTTCTGATGGAGCTGCTGTCAATACTGGAAGAAACAGAAGAGTCCTTTAAATAGAAGGGATTTGATAGGTGGATGTGAGGTACTGGGAAACAAGAGATTTCAAGGTGGCACTAACATTCTTGCACTGGTGGATATTGTGTTGACCCTTCCAGCCTCCTCTACAGAAGCCGAACGGGCCTTCAGTGAATTGAAAATGATGAAATCTGATTAGAGATGCAGATTGTGCAAAAGTGAATTGAATGACTTGTTTAACGATTCACTTTTTAAGTGAAGACATTGCTGGTTATGATCCAGTGCTAGCTATATATTTATGGAACTCTAACGGATCTAGACAAAGAACTCCACTTTATATGGATGACTATTCACAATTGGATGGAAAAGATTATGATTTGGGACAAACTGATGGCAAATCAATAAAATTTATAATGTGTATAAATCTCTATTTTTGTGTTATGTACATGTATTTTGAGGACTAACAGATTTTGCTACTGACGAGTGTCTTTTGTCCATTAGTCCAACTGACTAATTAATAAAAATGTTTTGAACCCTGAATGATATATGGCTTATATGAAAAGAGTGAAAAAGCATGATACTGTAGAGTGTGAAGCAAATAAATGCAAATAAATAAAAAAGGGACAATATAATACAACTAATTAAACAAAATGGATGGTACCCAGATGATAAGCTTTCATAGTTGGATTTAATAACGGAATAGAAAAATAATTCAAACTATTATTGACTTCATAATTCATATTATGCTTAAGTGTGGACAAATAATTAGGATAAAGATGTAAGAGCTATAAATTATATTTAGAAGCATTTACCCCCAAAAGGCTTTGAGGGAGACAACTGTGGGAGATGGAACAATATTCACCCCACCCAATCCCAGTGGGTAGTACCAACCTGGTGTGTGGGATGGATGCCCCTCACAAGTTGTGGACCTCAAGGCTTTTTGAAGGCAGCAAGAACTTTCTTTTTTATTTTGCAATAGATAAATATAAAAGAAACATAAAATCACAAACTGTAAAATCAAAACACTAAAGCATGGTTTAAGGATCAAGACATGGAAACAAAACTGAACTGAGAATCTGTCCTCTCAGACCCACAGAGGAATGACCACTATGGGGGATGGGCCGTAGTTCACCACTTAAGGGGTGTTACCAGCCAGTGTGTAGGCAAGGTACGCATCACTCATATGTCACAGGCCTCATGGTTTTCAGAGGGCACAAAGATGAATAAATTTCTTCAAAAAAAAGGTATCTTCCTTAACTGATACTAATCATTAACTTCACTATACAGACAAGGGAAACTCACCAGGTTAAGTACAAAAATTAGCACAGACATGGACAGGGGACTGAAATTTTAAATGTAGAAACACATAATAGATTACACAGATTAGACAAACACAATAAATTTGAAAAGTAAAAAGCTACACTGGTTTAAATAACCATGAAACAGGGTCAGCATGCAAATAATAGAATGGTCCAGCGCATTAGATATTGTTATAATCATTTTATATCATTACTCTTGAAACTGCTAGTTGGTTAAATCCTGTGGATTTAATTGAATATTTAGCAAATGATAGTCTATTTATGACAGCTGGTATATTTGTTGAAAAAAGTGCCTGATAATAACCTTTGACCCATGTGAAGCTAGTGGCAAGTAAGCTTACCCACAGTGATCAAGCCAAGACTCCTGTCCATCATGGAGAAAGCTGTGATGTGCATGGTCTGCAGAGGTTGTCAGTACATTAGACCATTCAGCTACCTCAGACCATTTACAGGTTTGAGAAGCACATGGTAAACAAGTGATAACATTGGTCATGAAAATCTCTGCATAACTACAGATACTGCCCCAGATAAGTTCTGGAGTAATTGGCTATTTCACCCATATATTTATATACAAATGAGTACAACTAAAATATTAACATTAATATTATTATTTTTTTATTGATATTATTATATACTGAGGAAATGTAACATTACCAAGATGAACATGTGTTGACAAGATTGGTATGTTAAGAAATGTGATTACACATTTCATAGATCTGAACATCCCATCCAGGTAATTAACAAGAAGAGTACTCTCTCTTGCATAGATACGCCAGCTTCCACCTCCCTGTAGGTGAAACATTAACCTCTCGACAAAGGCAGTGAAATAGATTAACAGGCATGCTATTAATATTGTTATCTGTAATACAGAACTGTACAACTGTTGGTCTTTTTAGTATAAACAAATCCTAAAATTGTTAAGTGCATCTAAGTTTAAGCAGTACTTGACGCACTTAGTACATTATATATACTAATACTTATCATGTATTACTTTTTATAAAAAAACAAAATAAATCTCTACCTACCTACCTTAATGATAATTTTGTAAGATCCTAACCTGTCTTATTTTTTTTAATCCCTACCTACCTACCATAATTTTTAAAACTTGCAATGAGGAGCAAACAGTTTGTTTTGATTTTGTCTCTTGGCACCCAACCCTGGCTATCATACACATGGTTCATACCAAATTTAGAATGATAAATTCAAATACTTTATCATAGATTTCCAATACCTATTTTCGCTAACATTTGTGTACAAGTTATGTTTTATGAGAAAACAACGAATTCAAAAAAAATATTGTTTAATGATGAAATTCAAACTATAATTAATTTCCTGACACAGACCGTGAATCCTGCCCAATGGAAAGAAAATGTTCGTCTTTTATGTCTTAACATCCTTCGTCAGTTAATTTGTGATTATGGAAAAAGATCAAATGTTAAAATTTGAATCTGCTCGATTATCGAAATGCTACCTCATTTTCCACAAACTGTCAAAGACCATAAAAACTTAAACAAACAAGGTCTCTGCTTTTTATTTCTGACAGAAAAAAGCGGAGACCTACTTGTTCGTCTAATGAGAACCCTGATACAATCTGCATTTGTTATGGTTGAAAAACTTTTGACATGATCCCCAGCTGCAGGTAAATTACATTAATTCAATAGGTTATTATCAACCATATCTTACATTTTTTAACCTAATGGATGCATGATTTTGTATACATTAAATTTCACATAGCTATAAATAGTTATAATTCCCTTAAAATCATTTATTAATTATTTTAAAAGAAATAAAAAAGTAAGTCTGCATGCTTTTAAATATATATATATATATATATATATATATATATATATATATATATATATATATATATATATATATATATATATATATATATATTGGGGGTGATTTAAAAATGAACAGGATATTTACAGAAAAGAAAGTCCAAAGGAAATGTCATTGTTTAGCACAATATAGGTTATACATGACGTCGGGAAAGAACCCTATAAAATCCCATTATAAAACACCAGCCCACGGGAAGTTGCAGGCAAACTTTCTCAGATACCCACAATACACGAGGCTCAAACCCTTGGGGAGAAAAATGGGATGGCAGGGATTGACACATTGCAGTTACAGACAAAATTAGAACTCAATTTGAAAAAGAAAAATATGGTTATGTAGTCTATATCTGCATCCATACACACACGATGTCCTCGTGCAATCAAGATTTTCGTTCAAAATCAAAGTCTAAAATGTTAACAAATTTATGCAATAAAAAATGAAGCGAAAGTGTAAAAAATAAAGCTATGGCGTGTGAACCTCAAATTATAACCACGCAAACTTTGTGTAATTATAAACGTGGCTGTTTTTTCGTCTATTTATGTTAATTGAATTTCCTTGATATTAGAAACCTCTTCGATGGCCTAGTGGTTAGAACGTCCGCCTAGGACGAGGGATGTCGTGGGCTCGATCCCCGGTCGATTCATACTAAAGACTTACAAAAATGGTACTAACAGCTGCCTCGCTTGACGCTCAGAATTAAGAGGTTAGTGTTCGGACTGGTCGTCCTGGTGTCAGAATAATGTGACTGTGTGAGACATCATGCTTCATGTCTGCGGAATGATGCTTCAGAGCTAGACATCAGAAAATTGCTACAGCTACGTTAAAAATCACAAGCACGCACACACTCACAGTAATAAAATAACTTTGAGACGATCCCCGAACTACAGAAATGAATCTAGATCATTTCCACGGTATACAATGTAACATTATCCCAAGGCTGGCATGCACGTTATGAGTGCGTGTCGAGTTTGTGAATGATGAGACGATCTTAATATTTTCATTATCTTACATTCAAGCTGATGAAGCTAAAATGAAATTGGAAACCAAACAAATTATTTTTTTGACCTTGAATGACGTGTAGCAGGAATAGTTCTAGATCAGAACAAATTGTCGCCTTAGTTACCTATTGCCATTAGACAATAAAAACCCGAGAACAATAATGGAAAGTATGTCAAATTTCATGTTCCGAAAGCATCTGACAGGACTAAATTCCTTAACAAGATTTTATTCTAATATATCTTAAGATGAAAATTATAAATACCAAAGTGATCTTAGTTTGATACAATTCTTGATTATTTTGCCAAACATTTTGTAAAGTTTTCCAAGACGTACAAGGTCAGTCACTGCACAGTTTACATCAACGGTGCGAAAATGATGGAATTAAGAAATGTTTATTTTATTTATTTTTAATTAGGTTTTATCGCACGCAAGTCAGGCTGCAGTTAACTTGGCAAAGAATTTTCATCTTATTTGCATGATATGCAACGTGCTGTGGGATATAGTTTGTACCTTTGTTCTACAAATTTAGATTTAACTTTTATATCACCGTTAATATTTAATGAGTTTCTCCTTAATGTTAATAAAGGTGTCATAATGATTAATACTTTTATTATTTGATAAAAAAATCCTGTTGTAATAGCCTATAACTGTATTGTATAGAACACATACTATTCACCACACAACAAACGCCATTAAGCAATTGGCCAAAATACTTAATCTTACTCGCATAAATCACCTCCAGGGGACCGTTCCTTGTTGACATTATGAATAAAACTTTCCAGAGCAAGTAGTCTTTACAATGGTAGGTATTTGTTCAAATAGTCAAGCTCTCTTTCTCTCTCCCTCCTCCCCCCTCTCCATAAATTGTGTACATGCACAGAACAAAAATCACGAAAACGCGTAATATAATGAATGATCCGGTCGATTAATCATTTATAAAACCATTATCTCAAAAAAGTTAGTCCACAACGTATATTAAAGTAGAGTGATGTTCTTGAACGTATTGTCCTGTACGTTGTATGGCTTTTCACTTTAATGGACTATCATTTTAATTAAATCAAGCCAATAATAGGGAAAACTTAGACAGTAATGCCGTGAAAATCGAACTACACTAAGATCATTTATAAGAACAGATTTGTGGATCACGGGATAGAAAAATTTGTATTTCTAAAGATACTTAATTTGTATTTCTAAAGATACTTAAAATGATATTGTATGTACGGCTGTAAGCAACAAAATACACAAATTGAAATCCTGACGTTGTCAGTGAAATTGATGGATGCATAAATCACAGAGCATATGAAAAGTTGGCATTAATAAAGTGCTTTAATGACTTTGGGTATGTATAAACATATCATTATTGCGATTATCTTCAATTCTAACATTTTGCACGAGTAACTCCTGCTAGACGCACTGTTGCTTTTGTGGGATTTTTTGGTCAAAGCTTCCAAATGAGAAACAAGGACTTGAAAATGTCATTTGTTTTCAGCAATTGTGACGTCTATCGCTTTCCACTGCAGTAACGTCAGGAATAAGCTGTCACTCAGTTATACCCATTGTAACTAGACTCCAGTAAAGAATAGTTTAAACAAATTCTTTTCTTACCAGCACGAATGTTTTTGCTCATATATATTTGGAAAAACAAGAAAGACCCATATATGATATGATATATGTGCAAGTGTTTCATTGTATCCTTTTATGAAAATGAAATAATGCCTTAAATTAAACAAATATTAGTTTCTTTAATTTAAGTATTTTCTTTTTAAATTAATTATTTTTTCATTAATTTCTTTGAACCAAATATTATATAAGTAAAATGGAAAATTATTTCCTTATTTCGAAATTTTTTCAAATTATTTTCATCAAGGTAAATTTGTATTATATTCTTTTAAATATTGGTTTTTCGATGAGTGTGACGTTCTATACAATATATGAAAATCGATATCAACGCCAATAACATTTAAGCTTTTAAAAATATAGATCTGTTGACTAACATACATTGGCCCATTGTCTATTCCTTAGTAAGAAATACGGTACTGTTACATATATGCAATTAAGTTGCTTGTGTGTAAGTTTTAAAATACTTTTTTATTTCCTTACATTTTATTTTAATTAATATTTTGCATCGGATTCGAAATTCTTATTCAGTAATTAGATATTTTCTTGTACTGAAATGTAATTTATCTAAGACGAAGAATTACGTGAGAATTATTTTTAGTTACCTTAGACCGTCTTGGGCTGGCTAGAGCGTAAACAGGCAGTCATAATGATTGGTAAGTAGGAGGGCCATACTTTCTTAGTGTGATCACTATGTGTAAACACCTTTATTTAAATATTGGTTCCTAAGTATTGATATAATGGCGTACTTGCGAATTTCTTCTAGTAAGAGACCACATGACCAATTTCGCGAGACTTGAAGTGATATTTTGGGGGTTTAAATACGTATTCCTAATATTCTTCTCGCAGAGTCGTTTTAACATCTTGAAGGAACAAGTTATTTGTATTTGTTGCCAGATTGTTTGCTTATCATCTAATTTTTAAATTTAATAATTTATTCACCTGGAAATTCAACAAGCTGACTTTTTATAAAAAGTTTTGGGAGATATTCATTGAAATTCATTCTGGAATTATTCGGAAACAAAAGCATCAATTGAATTGAGGAATTGTTGATATTCCTACATTGGACTACATCTGACGTCATCGCCTTCAATATTTCTACGTCGTCTAGAGTCGAACCAGGATTCTAATAGAACTATTTAGTGATATGACTTGTATTTTCATTCTTAGAATCTACTTTTTGATTACATTCACAAACTGTAAGTCCTATTTACCATTTTTTACATTTTTTTTTTTAAGGAAACAAATTATTTTGTCAAAACGTACAAAACTTGTTGGCTTTCACTCTTCTTTTTTATTTACTGAGTATGAGCCCTCGTCGCGTAACAGTACTTCCAATTGGGAATCATATCGCATTCGATATTTGACTTTTGTATATTAAATGTTGGCAAATTTAGTTATCTTGCAGTGGTGGATTGTTTCGATAATCTGCTACACCAAAAATAGGACCTGAACAAGATTTATATTCCTTTTGCAACTATTAGTTTAAATACTTTGAAATTAATGAAAGGTGAAATCCAATGAAATAAAACTGCCTGCTCAACGAACACTTAGTAAGCGGTAAAGTTAGATATATTATATATGCGTTAAAATTGGATGACATATAAATCGCTGGAATAATAAAATTTCATATACAATTACTATCAAATTATGATTTTCCCATGGCGTATAAATACTTATGAAATTAAGATTTATTTATGGCGTATAAATATGTATATAATTATGATTTCAGCAATGAATTATTTATTTCATCCCCTCTAGATTAATGACGAATTTCACGTATGAAACACTATTTATAAAATATGAAAATAGTGAAAAAGATAGTAATAATACAAGAGTTCTGAATTAATTAAAAATGTAATACAATTGCATCTCTCTCTCTCTCTCTCTCTCTCTCTCTCTCTCTCTCTCTCTCTCTCTCTCTCTCTCTCTCTCTCTCTCTCTCTCTCTCATGGCTTTGGGTTATTTTATGGCTTTGGGTTATTTTATGCCACAACGCCAAATCATACGCAAATTAGTATTGCTGCATTTTGCATAGTAGATGGTATTTTTACATCTGGCAAATTTTATAACTGAATTGTTTTATGTGTCATACTACAATACAGTACTCTAATTTTCTGTTTTCACATTAGATTTGAGCGCTTTGATGTTTTTGTTTTTTTTTTGAAATCTTACATAAGCAATATTCCTTGATTTCTAATTTACTTTAAATGCTAACAATTTCATTAAATCGATTATCGTACCCATCCTGCCTCCCAGTCATAACGCTAAATCACAACGTGAAGAATACGTGGAGTGACGGAAAATATACTGACCTGGATTACATCCTTCAATTTGAATTTACACTAAGTAACCAACTAGAACGTCTGACCTTATAACCGTATGTGTGGGATTTTTCTACAGCTATAAAAGGTAACAATGCTACAATGATGCAATAACCTACGCAGACCAGATGGCTGTACCGTAAATTACTTGGATTTGCGACACATGTATTCTGTAATATAGCTGATGCTTTTTTTTTTGAGAAATGAACACCCCAATTCAAAGCCATTGATATTTCACCTAGGTCATTGAAAGTCATTTACTTTTAGAGAGTTTACTTATAATATAAAAGTGATTGAAAATTTTACTTTCCAGTAATTTACTTTACGGTGTGTGATATACACATGGCGCCCATTTTAGATGATGTCATTAGCACTCTTTCTCCTCATTAAGTTTAATTGTCACATTGGGTCCTGGACAAGACGTTCGTTCGTAGTTAGAACCATGCATGCGAGGACGTGTTACAAATGCATGTTTCAAACCCAGCGTGGTTCATATTCAAGGATCCAGTTCGGCAAATAGGCTTGCTAGCTTACGATAGTAGTGGCAATTTATATTAAAGCTATGAATTGTATCAGATTATCAAAGCTAGAAAGTGTTAAAAGTGAGCAATGTAGACGAGGCAGCTTGTCTGAAATTGAACTTTGAATTGAGTTGGTCAGTCGTGTAATCAAAACCGAAACTGTCGTCATTTTGAAAACTCGA